AAAACATCCGTAATACTTGTATTTCGATGATAATTAATTTTCCAAAACACCAAATCAGATTTTCTAAAGTTTATATCATTCCTATTTTTCGGATTTCAATTGTTCTTGTGCAATCCGATTTGAGACCTTTTTTTTTTTTAGAGGAAGGAGGGCGGGACCTCCGATATTTTATTGATATGTCCTCACTTGTGGTTGAGGAATACCGTGGTTACAACTGAAATGATAGGAAGCAAAAAATGGGGAAGTACTACTTCCCCTACAATAGAAATAAAGTAAAGCAGTAGAAAATGAAGTACTACTTTCCTTACAATAGAACCTCATGACTACTACGGAAAACGAAAACAAGGCAAGTTACAATTATCCAAGCGGACGCAACTAATAGTATAAACTCGGAAACTGGAGATTGATTATAAGAAGTCTGAATTACCTTGAGCTCCAAGTCGCGCTAATGAATCTGCCACTTGGTTAGCTTCTCGATAAATATGTGATACATCAATAGATATAACATAAGCAAGCTTCAATATATCCTCCCAAATAAGACGAATACACCAAGGTATGTGATCTTTATGATGGAACCAATGAACCACCACATTAGAGTCCGTTTCTATTGCAACCATATCTATGCCAAGGACATAGCAAAGTTGAAGGCCTATTCTCAAAGCTGATGCCTCAGCAAAAGTGTTAGTTCCAACCCCAAGAAAATGATAGAACCCAAAAATGACCTTTCCTTTCCAATCCCGAAGCAATCCACCACAACCAGCCGAGCCTGGATTACCAGCACTCGCACCGTCAATATTAAGTTTGTAACACCCATGTTGAGGAGGGTACCATTTAACCAAGAATAGAGTTTTTACTCATATTGGAACCTTAGGGGTGTGTAATATATGTGAGAAATAGGAGGAAATAGGCATTTTTTTGGGTTTAAGAAACCCATTCAATTCGTGAATCCAACGTTTAACTTTAACACAAATTTTGTGCAAGTTAACTATCTCATCTTTAAATTTTGCAGAATTTCTGGCTAACCATAGCTCCCATGAAAGAAGTTGTGGGATAAGTAGAGCAACAAGATGTTCTTGTGTTGACCCGCCAAAATGAGTATTCCAAAGTAACATAATAGACCCCCATGAAATATTAGTAGTCACGCGAACCCCAAATAAAGTTCCAAAATATTTCCATGCTTGAAGAGCAATAGAACTAGTAGCGAAAATATGGTCTATCGTTTTATCATGTCCATGTGAACAGCAATGACATTTGGAGACAATAGGAACCCCACAATGCTTGACCACATCATCCACTGGAACCACGTTGTGCCAAAGGCGCCAACAAAAAATAGAAATTTTTGGTGGTATGGTATTGTACCAAATGACCCTATACGGAAGAGTAGTAGTTCTAGTAGTTCTGATAAGAGACCAAGCTGAGCTTGTAGAGAATAAACCATTGCTGCAAGGGGACCAAATTAATTCATCAGCACCTCTGCAGAGATTAACATGGGAACGTTGAGTTTCCTCCACTAAAGCCGAACCACCCAAAGTAAAAAGCTTATAAGTTCCATTTTCCATTTAAAATAACGTCATGAAGTCTTAAATTTGGGACGATGATAGTCCAACCAAGTGCAGATAAACTACTCGAACCCCTCCAATTGTCGTACCAAAATAGAACACGGCCATCTCGGATTAGCCATCTGCTATGATCTAAAATGATTGGAAAGTGATGTGAGAGTTGTTTCCACATTGATGAGTCTTTAATACTGACAGGAATGTTGGCTATGTCTAGGTTATGACTGAGATATTTTTGTCGCAAGAAATCAGCCCAGAGGGAATGTGAAGAAACTATTCTCCAAGCCATTTTACATTGAAGCGACTTGATCATATCAAAGAGACTGCGTATACCTAAACCTCCTTCCTTTTGTAGATAACAAATGTTGTTCCAAGAAATCCAATGACGTTTAAAACCATCTTCAGATTCACCCCAAAAAAAGTTGGCAAAAAGGGCGTGAATCTCTTTAACAACTTTTATGGGAGGGGTGATCACAGAAAATAAATATATAGGTATGGAACTAAGTACAGATTTTATCAATGTGAGCTTACCGCCCATGGATAGGAGCTTTCCTTTCCATCCCGATAATTTTTTCCTGATTTTATCAAGCATCGGGGTGAAATAGAAGAGATGGGTTTGCTGTAATGGAGGAGGGCACCAAGATAATTAAAAGGGAGGGAGTTTTCTTTGAATCCTATTGTGGTAGAAATGATACGCTTTCTAGACACTGCTACCCTCTTGTGGACTATAAAAGAACTCTTACCCACATTTATTAACTGCCCATATATAGTTTCATAACGCCGGAGAAATCTCATTAAATTATTAAGGCTACGACGAGTGCCATTAGTAAACACCATGAAATCATCAGCATAGAGGAGATGAGAAATAGGAGAACATGTAGCAGAAACCTGATAAAGAGCGGTACTACCATCTTCCAGAAGTTTTGTTAGAGTGGTTCTTCGCTAAGAATGAATAACAATGGAGATAATGGATCACCTTGCCTAAAACCATGAGATGGAGCAAAAAACCCAGCTAATACATCATTAATTTTAACTGAAAAACGTGGTGAAGCAATAGCATTCTTAATGAGGGAGATCCAAGTGTCAGCAAATCGAAATGCCTTTAACACTTCTAACAAGTAGCCCCAAGATACCCTATAAAAGCCATAGCCATGTCAACTTTCATAATCACATTGGCACCTCGGGAACGCTTATTTAGATTATGAACTAACTCTTGTGCCAGCGCAACATTTTTAGAAATCATTCTACCAGTAACAAAGCCTCCTTGATTTATAGAAATTAATTTAGGTAAAATCATAATCAAACGGTTGGTAACCACTTTAGATATGAATTTGTAGAAAACCTGACATAAACTTATCGGTCTATAATCCTAAAAAGTCTTGGGATCTTCAGATTTAGGTACCAAGGCAATGATAGAAGCCCTAAAGCATTATTCAGTTCTTTGCCCCTAAAGAAATCACGAATTGCCGTGACAACATCTTCAGCTACCACTGTCCAAGCGTGAATAAAAATAGATGAAGTAAACCATCAGAACCCGGAGCAGAATCTTCAAAGATATCTTTAACAGCTGTGAGAACTTCAGCATCAGAAACATCCTTCAAGAGCATGTCGTTATCAGTATTAGTAACTAACCTATGAATAAGAGAAGTCATCTCCCTGTAATCTATAGTATAAATATCTTTCGATTTGAGATGATTTTTAAATTAATCAATAGCGACTTCTTGAATATCTTTTTGGTCGGTGAGGATACTAGTCTCAGTATTGATACTATCAATCATAGCCTTCGATCTATTTTGCCTAGCAGAAGAGTGGAAGAAGGCAGTGTTCTTATCACCACATGATAACCATTTAACCCGTGACTATTGCCGTTTATAAATCTCTTCCCGTAGCAGAAAACTGTCTAACTCCCCCTTAAGAGCTATAATATTGGCATCCAGAGTGTGATCAGATTGAACGTTGTTTTCAAGAATAAGGATTTTATCACGAGTTTCATTGATTTTCTGAAAAATATTTCCAAAGACAACTTTGTTCCAGATTCTTAAATNCGTTATAGAAAACGCGTGACACATAACATGTACATTAATTTAGCTTACCACTTATTGACTGTTGCTATTGATACTTGATATGAAGACTATATGAATTATGCTTTCTTTTCTTAGTAAATTTAATTAAAATCTACTTCAGTTATAACTTTAAATAGAAAATAAAAAATTCAACTTTTCCATGCAAATCATTTCTCCTCTAAGATCTTAATTACTTCTTCGCATTACTAGACTTAAACAAGACAATTGTTATATCTTTCAACCGAAGGCACGTGGGTGGGACACACAAAGCAAAAAATCCACGTTCACCAGATTTGTGTTCAACAAAAAAGGTACCAAGCATAAAAATACATTTCGCAAGTAACAAAATAGTTTACCATAAATGAAAAAAAATATGCCATCGTCTTAGACATATAAGAAACTTCGGACCCATGATCGCATTTATCCACAATGTCCTGAGTTTAATTTGGCAACGGTTACAAAATGTGGATCCAAAAGCCAATTTATTTCATAATGAACTGTGAAAGTTAAAAGAGATTTTTACCAACAACATATATTTCTATGTATACATACATATACTACAAACGAAATGAGAGAGTTAGCATTGGAACCAGCCAGTACAAATAGGGGACAAAAATACCCTTACAAATAAGGAAGTGAATTGCACGTGATCCAGTAATAGTAGAATGGGATGGACGTGAAAGAAATGACCGTTTGCGCCCTTGAAAGGTTGAATACTGAATAGGGATGTCACTGCCAAAAATGGAACACTAGGTACTCAACCAGAAACAAGGGAAAAGTACAGGGACCCTTTGTGAAAAAATGGGAAAAATTGGACAGCCGATTTTTCAGCTTTCTTGTCCGATGTACAAATATATTTTCTCAAAAGCTAGGGTTTTCAAAATTCGTTTCCAATCTCTCTTCTCAGGTTCATCTCTCTTTCCATAGTTTCAGACTCACGCTTGGATGTTTGTATGAATTTATTTACACGCATTGTGTAAGGGCAATTGTGTGAAGGAATTGTTAATATTGAAGTGCTACAACCGATCTCATCTTTTACTGTAAAAAATCCTATGCATCTGGAGAACCTGATATTTTGAACTTCTGATTTGTTTTATCTATTAAATCTTAACTTTTTTCTTGCATTTAACTGGTGCTGGCGTTTAATTTATTGATTATTTTCTTAGGTAATAGATGGACGCGGAAATAGCTGTTTTGGTGGTTTAGAGGTGTTTTGTTATGATTTTTGTGATTTCTGCTAATTATGTTTTTCTCCTTGTGTGTTTTCCAATCAGGGGTTTAAATTTTGATATATTTGAAACGCTCTTCAAATTGGATTGAAAATTTTGTAGTGCTGAAATTTAGGCCGGGCAAAGAGATTTTAAAGATTTCATTTTGGAAAATGACTTCATGGGCGGACGCTGTTGAGACTGGATCTTCTGATAACACTGGCACTAGCGGTGGGAACAAAGGCGCATCCGCTCCCACCAAGCCAACCTATGTTCCACCTCATCTTCGGAACAGGCCTCCAGCCTCGGAACCTCCTGCTTCATCACTTAGTGGCCCACCATCTGGTAATGATAGGTTAAAGTACGGCATACCCACAAGTGGGTCTCGATGGAGTGGTCCAAGGTCTGAACATGGACGTCCTGGACATGTTGGAGGCCATAGAAGTGGCGGCTGGGGTGGCAGAAGTGGCTGGGGAGGCAGGGAACGGGAGGTGAATCCTTTTGGTGATGACGATGTGGATGCTGATGCAGAGAGTGCATTTGAGGAGCAGGAGAATTCAGGTATTAACTTTGATGCTTACGAGGATATTCCCGTGGAGACAAGTGGGGATAATGTACCTCTGCCTGTGAATGCATTTGCTGAGATAGATTTAGGTGAAGCGCTGAATTTGAATATTCGGAGGTGTAAGTATGTCAAACCAACTCCTGTTCAGCGATACGCAATACCCATTTCTCTAGCAGGAAGAGACTTGATGGCTTGCGCCCAGACGGGATCTGGTAAGACTGCCGCCTTTTGCTTCCCTATTATTAGTGGAATTATGCGAGGCCATTTTCCACAAAGACCACGTGGAGTGCGGACTGTTTTTCCACTTGCTCTTATTCTTTCACCAACAAGAGAACTCTCAATGCAGGTGATCTGTTATTTAATGGACATTAGTGATGTGCCCAATACTTGTGCATTTTGATTTTTAAAATTTCTGAGTTGGAATCCACAATCGATGTGTTGCATTTAACATGCAGATACATGATGAAGCTAGAAAGTTTTCTTATCAAACCGGTGTCAGAGCGGTTGTGGCTTATGGAGGGGCACCAATAAATCAGCAGGTTTTCTTCCTGAAGCACCAAGACACATCACACAATGTTTTTTGAACACGTCATGTTCTTCCCTCACAAATTGCTTCTTCTCCTCACAAATTGCTTCTTCTCCCTTCCCCGTATTATTTCCTTTTGTGTTTTTCAAATTCTATTTTGTGGTCAATCATATTTCAAAGCTGAAGGCGGGTAGGCACACATGGAGGTTAATTTGACTACTAAATGCATTTGTCAACAACTTCTAACTACTTGATATACTTTTTACAACCTAGTTTTGGACATGATTTACTGCTGATAAAATTTTGATAATACGGACTTGTAAAATTTTGGAATGGGATAACGTAGGATTGAGCATATGTTTGAGATCCATTCTCTAAAAATTAATTTTTCCCCAATCTCATTTTCAACCACAGGTTCTCCCAATAAAATAATTTTACACATAAACTCCTAGTTTTTCTCTACTTTTTAACCACATATTTTTCAAAATAATTACTAGTACAAAATCTCTCTCTCAAAAAATAGGGCTCAAATAGAGTCTAAAAAATGAGAAGCTTTTTACTTGCATCTCTTAACTATATTATGCATTAAGATAAAAGTCGACGGCTATATTAACGAATTTTCTAAATAAATTGCAGTCGTCCCTTATGCAACTTTGGTTCAACCTTTATAAGGCTACTCTAATATAAAATGCCAAAATATTGTAGATTCACAAATATAATAAACTCTTAATGTACACTTTTATACAAATATACTATGATTTTTTTCCATGGATGTTCATTTTAGTATGTTATTGTAACTGTCATGAAAACAGATGCACACACCATCCCTCTCCTCGGGTAGAACTTAACCATCTCATTTCTAAAATAGGATCTATGGATATTGGAAAGTTAAATTTTATCTATTTCTGCTATGTATGCTATCTATACGCTAGATTTTGGTTTAAAACCCAGTTTGAATGACAATTTTACTAGGTATGTTCCATCTGCATTAGATCATAAAAATATTTTTCAGTTTTCTTGTCTCTTTATCTTGACTTCTGTGTACTAAAGATGTTTTTTTAAATATTATCTTGCCCTTGGGAGTTCATGATGCATCCAAGTTTCGTGTCAATATTAATGTTTTTGACAATTAATGTAGCATGTGCCTCATCTTCAGCAATATGATAGCAATGACAGTTCTTTTAAAAGTTATGCTTATTGGGAATTCACAGTACATAATTTTGAATTTATATATATTTATAGAGATCAACTATTTATTGTTAGAGATTATATAGCGTAGTATGCTAATAGATTTGGAGTGTGTTTGGTAGAGATTAAAATCGGATTAAAATTGAAAAACTAGCTGTTATTGTTGACGTTTATTAGACGGGACCCGATAACGGCTATATTTTCAATTTTAATTGGATTTTTAGTGTTACCAAACAAGCTCTTGATATCAGAAGTGTTCTAGTGTCATAAATGTTGGTTTAATCCTCAAAACCCATTCTCCTCTTTTATGTGAGTTTCTACCTCCCCGCATTCTTTCTTTTCTTCAACGTTTTAGTGCTGGACAAGAAACCCAAGAACATTGGTAAAATCTCTTACCTTTGCCTTCATTTCTCATATAACTCTATTTATTTGTCTTTTTAACAGTATCAATCTGCTTCAATTCTGATTTAATGGATTTGAAGCTAGAAACTAGTAAAGCAATTGAGGAAAAAGATTTATTTTGCAGTTAACGTTTCAAACAAAGAATTATTTTTCATGGCATTTGAGATTTGTATCCTATAAATAGTCAGACACCTTTTATATACCCTTTTAAAATGTTCTGTTGATTTTATGGAATTTTTGCTTAAGTGTAGAGATACTATTTTTGAAGTGGTCCTGCAGCTAATTAATTTGTTTGCAGCTGCGTGAACTCGAGAGAGGAGTTGATATTCTGGTGGCAACTCCTGGAAGATTGGTTGATTTGCTTGAGAGAGCCAAAGTTTCATTACAAATGATTAGATATTTGGCTCTTGATGAAGCAGATCGAATGCTGGATATGGGTTTTGAGCCTCAAATCAGAAAGATAGTGGAACAAATGGATATGCCTCTTTGTGGCGAAAGACAGACAATGCTGTTTAGTGCCACCTTTCCAAAAGAGATACAGGTCGTTATTGTAGACGATTCTATTTATTGCTATATTTTGGATTTGCTGTCCTATTTTTAAAGGTCTTTCTCGTTGTCATTTGTTTTTTCTTTTCCCATTTTCTCCTCAAGTAACATGAGATTTATTGTTGTCTGTCTTTGGGTAGTGGTTAAATGCTGACGGTCTCATTTAACTGAGACAAAATTTTCCTTGTTTTGTGACATCAAGTTATTTACGAGGTTTCCACATTTCTAACTTTGACTTGTCGGGTAATGAACCTAATGGTATTTTGGACAGAACAATGGAAAAAGAGTTGTTTTAAAGGAATAGGAGCATAAACTCGAGCATCTTAAAACCAAAACAAAAATATACTTGATTCTTGAGCGAGATTATGTAGGTGCCATGGATTATTTACTTGCTTGGTGCTTATATTATTAAGCAATTGAGGATATGTCGTTGCAAGGAATGTTATATTCTTGCTGAAGATTGTTACGTTGTTAGCCAATAGTAATCTTATGAACTTCTAATTGTTGGCATGCAGAGATTGGCATCTGATTTTCTTTCCAATTACATATTTTTGACTGTTGGACGGGTTGGTTCAAGTACGGACTTAATCGTTCAAAGAGTTGAATTTGTTCACGAGAATGACAAGAGAAGCTATTTGATGGATCTTCTTCATGCACAGAGGGCTGACGGAATCAATGGAAAGGTAGTTAATGATATTCTGATGGATGCATGCATACCAATTTACTTTTGTTTGATTATGCTATTTATTTAGTTGTAGGACTTGACCATAATTGAGATTTGTGACAGCTTTTGTTTACTATTCAGCCCATGTTTGAGCTACATTAAAATTTTCATTTTCATCCTTCTACTCATTTTCAATCACACATTCTTTAATAAAATAATATTGTCCATTACATTAATAACTTTTCCTTCTTTTTCAACCACACATTCTCCATCAATTTACTATTCCAAAATACATTCTACTAAAATAATGTGGCTCAAACACACCCTTAGTAATTCTTCTTAACCCATTCGATTTAATGTTTATTTATTTGTTTTAAGCTTTCTAAATTTTTTTATCTAATTTGCTATTTATGTCTAGATGAAAATATATTGTTGATTGTGATCAATGTGTGCAGCAAGCTCTTACTTTAGTGTTTGTGGAAACGAAGAAAGGAGCTGATTCATTGGAACATTGGTTGTGTGTTAATGGTTTTCCTGCTACAACAATTCACGGTGATCGAACACAACAAGTAAGCAATCATGAAATTGATTTTCTAGTAGTTACTAGCTGGATGCTTTCTGTTTGGTTCTACTGGAACATTTTCGGCCATTTTGCTTTGGTTGTCTATATATATGCATTATCTGGACTTATATTTTACTTTTGAAATTCTGAAAAATTGAAGAGTGGCTATGTAAGTATGGTAATTTTTTATGTTTGAAATTCAATTAACTAGCTGAATGCGTGTTTAAGCCGACAGTTATCTTAAAGAAAGACTGCAGTAAGCACTTGTAGTAAACTTACATAATTTGTGTTATTTTGTGGAATTTTTTTGCATAAATCTAACGAGTCTCTGCTTAAAAGAATTTAAGATTTTAATCACCAATCATAAGGGGAAGATTTATTAATCTCTGCATATGTTTTAAAATTGGACTTGAAGAATCACCTTTAGTTGCTCAAGTAGCAATGATGCCTTGACATGAAATAAGGTGATTCATGATGTGGTTATGCTGTGTTCATATTAGTTAAAATTCCGAAGCAAATAACTTGATCCTTGCTCTGCCTTTTAACAAATTGCTCATTAGATGCAAATTTGCTTGGTCTTGGATATGCCCTGGGACTTGGAGAACTGCACTCTGTGTAATTTGATTTTAGGAATTCACTGCTTTCCAATAAATTCTTTGCCCTCTTTCATATTTGCTAGTGAGTCCCACTATGAACTTTACACTTTTTGCCGGCCAGATTTACTAAAATTCACTATCTAATTATGTCAAGTAAGAGATTGTTATAATGTTCACTCATGGTTACAGATTAAATGAAATTAATTAAAAATTTTAGGAAGTGGCATTATCATGGAGCAATGCAACTTTGAGTATTGATGACGTCCGCAATTTTTGCATTTGTTTTTCTGTGTATCCTTGTCTATTATACACGCTTTGCAATTTTCTTACTAAAGTACCCTTATTTATAGAATGGACCTTGACCTACTAGTCAATGACTCAAATGTAATATAAGTTGGCAACTGGGAGGTTGTGTATCCTCTCGATTATATTGATCTTTTTATTCCTTAGTTGTGTGATTGTTGTTTCATCACTCACATTGATTATTAGTTGATCCGACTTTGATTGACCCTGTTGTTCCAGGAAAGAGAACAAGCATTGAGATCGTTTAAGAGTGGAAACACGCCGATTTTGGTAGCGACAGATGTAGCAGCTCGTGGTCTTGATATTCCTCACGTTGCTCATGTGATCAACTTTGACCTCCCCAATGATATTGATGATTATGTACACCGGATTGGACGTACTGGTCGTGCTGGCAACACAGGATTGGCTACAGCTTTCTTTAATGAGAACAATTCGTCACTAGCAAAGCCACTAGCTGATCTGATGCAGGAAGCCAATCAGGAGGTACCTGATTGGCTGATTCGCTATGCAAGTCGAGCCCCATATGGAAGTAAAAATAGGCGTGGTGGTGGGCGATTTGGTGGTCGTGATTTTAGAAGAGATAACTCTTATAATCGGAGTGGGGGAGGCTCAGATTATTATGGTAGTGGTGGAAATTATGGCAATTATGGTGGTGGGGGATATGGTTCTGGGATGACCAGTGCTTGGGATTAGTGTTTTACAGTATTTCTTAAAACTTATTTTGTTACTGAGTATATATGTTTTTCACCCGAATTTGAGGATTGTGTTGTTTTTGACAATGCAAAAATGTGGTAGGTTACTTTTTCGAGTTACTTGAAAATGGTTGCCCGGGTGACGCCGCGCTGCATAGTTAAAGAAATTCAGTTATATTTTATTTGATCGACTTGACATAGGAGTTGAGATTTGTTTGCCCATTTTGCCGTCTCTTCAGCTGTACTCCACCAAAATGCTAAAACTTCACTACATCAATTATTGTTGACAAACAAATAACAAGACAATTTTAATCTATCCTTGTGTTTCCCAATGTGCAAAATTCCATTGCGTCCTACTTCGTGATGAAATTGAATTTGTGACATTTTTCTATTAATTAATGAATAAGAAGGTGCAATTCAATTTAACAATAATTAGAGACGATTTCTATTTTTGCTTGATAATAATGGCAGATATATGTTACGCATACTATATATATGTCTCTGTTTCGAAATATGTTGGTGCAGAACTCGTCGTATGTATATATTGATGGTATTAGACTTGAGTAAAACTCTACTATATGTTCCTATAGTTACCTTCTATTCAATTGATAACAAGTCATCATTTGTATCATAATTAACATTTATGGGGGGGTGTCGATGAATTTCGTGGATTTGAATAGAATTCCACAATTTCCATGAAAATTTCATCAAATATAGTGAAATTTCAAAAGATTTGATTATGTGCATTTTTAATTTCAAAATCCACCAAAACTTCTAAAATCTCTCGATTAATGAATTTTTTAAAAATTCAATAGTTATTGATGATACATAAATTTTAAATGATTTTGATTAAAATCTTAAATGGGAACATCTAAATTTTAATGGATTTCATTAAAATATCAATTGAGAACACTTAAATTTAGAAAGATTTTTAGAATCAATCACAATCTACTTTCTTATACTTTTTTCTTACTTTCAAATTTGACGGACATGGGTTATTTACGTAGGTTATTTGAAAAAAAGATAAGAAGGAATAGAGTAAATGTAAATTATGAAATATACGACTTCGTATCACCAATTGAGTGGATAATCCTATCACGCAAGCATATAAGAACCTTAAAACGTTTGAAGTGTTTGACATTAATATGGGACAAGCAAATTACACAAACTTCCCTAGAGGTTTATGCCAATTAAAGACTTTCCTTCTATTTTCAAAAATTTCAGAAACCTTCTTTAAAGTTTACTTTTAGCAATTTCTCCACGTTTGCAAAAATATATATTTAAATTTCAAAGCTACATCATTTTGAAATTGTTATTTTATTATATTCAAATTATAATTTAGTAAGATATACTTTTAATTTTGAAAATACCACTTATTTGAAAAAATACCATTATAAATATCTAATAAAATTTTTAAAAAAATTATAAAGTGTGATTCTTTATGCGTATTTGATTTACAAATTATTAAAAGTCGATATAAATAAAAGCTTTAGAATAATTTATATAAAGCTATTGAAAATTAATGAATATTTATCTTGTTAAATTTAATAGCATTTTTCAAAAAAAATTAAATATTCAAAAAAGTCGTTATCAAAAGTTTAACTTAGATTTCATTGTAGTTGATTTCTGTAGTAAACAATTTAGATCAATTTTTTCCCCTTTTTCAATGAGAAATCAAAATTCACAAAAATAATGAATAAGATCAAATCACTATGTATAAAAGGATTTAAAAAATGAACTTTAAATGTTTTATTTCGTGTAAGTTAAATTTAAGAAAACAAATATAATCATATATAAAGCACCAATTTTTGCCCCGTGCAATGTATGAGTTGTGTTATTTTTAAGGTAATATTAGCGTATTGAATGCTAAGATTAGATGAGAGATTGTATTACAAAATTTTCACACACACATTTGTATAAAAGAAATAATATTTCATAGAACAATTGTTGCATTAAGTAATCTAGCCCCAACAACAACAACGTACACCCGTAATTTATCTGGCCAAGCAAAGCACGAATGCACTATATTAAATGAATTTTTAATACAGAAGAAAATGAATTATGAGCTATTTAGGAATTTCTATGTATGTTCTATGAGACTTAAGCAGATATATACATAGTTAGTTGGATATGAGCGCAATTTCATATCTATATAACTATGACTTCAGGTGTTCGAAGCTTGCCATTGAAAGCAATTGCAGCTTCTTTTGCCAGCTCACTTTCCGTTGTTTCTTCTCCTGGTAGCACCACAGTTACTTCCTGAGAAGATAAGATAGGCAAATAAGTTTTCGTAAAATGAATCGCCATTATAAGAAATCACTGCACCCGAAGTAGAGCAAGGTTTCTAAAATATGTATTCTTAATATAATGTCTAAATCATCATGGGCAACAAGGCTTTCAAATTCTCACAATTTTTTTCACATTCAAGTTCTGATGCAAAACTAATCTCTATCCAGTTAGGCAGCTACTAACTTACCCATGATATATGATAACCAAGTAAGATAAGCACTTATGATGTGATACATCCTATCAACCTATTAGTGAGTATTTCATTATATGAGGGGATACATCCCATTAACTAAATTATGAAAGTTCTATATTATCATAAAAATGGAGTTCAAAAGAAAAACCTTCAAAGAGTATTGGCCAAGTGGGCCAATGTAGCTTATAGTTCCCATAGCATCAGGGGGAGGTGTTACATGGTGTTGCATTAAAATGTTTTTGAAAACATTCCGCATAGGGTAGTTATTATGGAATGAAATGTAGATAATAAAATTTGAAGTGCCGATAAGAGGTGAAGTAGGATTTCATAGAAATAATTTTCAAATTCAGCATTTTGAGTTGAGCTCTAAAGGTCTTACAGCATACAAGTCTCAACTTGTGATTAGATCTCTGTATCCTGCACATGAATACATTGTTAAATTAGTAAATGTGTCACCAAGGTACTCTACATTTCTAATTTGAGTTAAAACGATTGATATGATATTCAAAGGTTTTGAATTGTTTAAGGCATGCCTATTTTCTTAGGTTGAAATTCCCAAAAAATGTATTTGTCAAGAGCTAGGACAGAAACACCACGAGGAATATAGACATCACCAGAGTTCTTTGCAATTGTCTTAGAGACCTCTGAATTAAGTATTGGAAAGAAAAACAAAAGGGCTACCATTAGGCAGTTGTCTCCAGACTCTCCACAGATTTGGGACAATTGTGGGAATAATCATTGACCATAAATATAGAAAATATATAGAGCAATAGATCTGGTGGACCTAGGTTTGAGCAAGAAAGAGAAGTTAGTTTTAGGCTGTGAATTAAGTAGACCGCTCCATATTGAACACCCGAAATAAGTGTCTAGTACATGTGAGTTTGAAATACAGAACTTGAGCACAATTTAAATATAAAACCAAAACATTCTACTGGAAAAATTGTTCAGCCAAAAAAGTCACATCTAACAAAATTTAGAAACTTCTCTGGTAGTGAGATGACATCAGCAAAAAAATCATGAGATCAACCTCTATGTTATGAACCTTATATGATTTCAAGTAGTTTTTTTTTTTAAATAAGTAATTCATAAAGCTTCCCAATAGCAAGATACAGATACAAGGATGATTGACCTCCAACACAATTCTCTCCTCAGAGAGTTTAAGTGTTTCCAATGCTACAACGAGCACAACCTTACCATCAAGACACAAGACCAACCAACAACAAAAAGCAAAAACAAACAAACACCTAAATGGGCCTGCAACATCACCAATGACTGAAACTATCCACAACACAGGCCCAAAAAAGATGAACACCATGAGGCACAAGTAGAGGCTTCAGGGCAGAGAAATAGAAAACGATGAAGTCGCCCCCCAATCCAAGATGCGTGCCCAAACCGTCACCGGGAGACGAAATACACAACTGATAATGGCATAAAGACCAGATGAACAGCTGGGATTGGCACAAATCAGCATCAAAATTCGGAAAAATAGCCCTGTGCAAGAAGCACCCAAAAGGGACGGACGCACCCCCAACCTGTCCGAAGATATCCCTGATAAAAAGCTCTGGTTGGACGGCTTCAACGGAGTCCCTTCCCCCATCTGGAACGCCCCCCAACACAACGACCTCTTCAAGCAAT